GTATAGAGTAGACCTGTGATATCCTTGGGAAATACCCAGATAAGGAAACTCCTTCTACCAATGCAGGTCAATACTTCCTCTACACCTTAGTCTTAGAAAATTGTTCAGAGCACTGAGAAGACCTGAATTCTGATCTCGCCTCAGACACTTATTAGCTGTGTGACTTGTTATATTGATGCTTCAATGTATCTGAGACTTTCTAGAGTGAGTATTCCCTCCAACATGCAGATTGCAACCCATCTATGCCTGCCCATCCTATAAGATTCTTGTTCATGTCTTCCTATAGATCCACCACAGGAGGTCCACCCAATGCACTTGGGATCTTTTTCTAGTGCCCTTGACACTGCATGGACCCCTTGGAATCCATGGTTATTCCTTGTTCTTACTATAGGGTCAGCCTGTCTATTTTTTCCTGGTCACATATTTCTCTGAAGAGCACCTCTATGTTCCTTCTGCACAATTCCTCATGTATAATGGGTAGCAGCTTGTTCATGCCCACTATGCCCCTCTCCATTGCTGTTTGGGTGATTCTTGACATTGCTGGTCAGTAGTTTTCCATGACTTGTAACCATACATTATTAGATATTAGACTATTAGATGATTTAAAATGTTCAGAAGAAAAAAAAATGGTCTGTATACTATAAGGAGGTAAATGGAAGGATCATTCAGTCCTGTAAACATTTATTAAGTTCCTACTATGTCCTATATGCTAGGGACATGAAAATGGTCCTGTCCTCAGGGTGCTTATGTCCTCTTGGAACAACAATATGTAGATGCACATTAATTTGAGGAGATAGTGAATCCTAACAACTAAAGGAATCAGGAAAAAACATGAGGAGGTAAGTGGCCAAGGCTTGGTGGGGGCATCCTCAGCTTCCCAAGATCTCACAGTTATGGCTGGATTTCCCCCGAAGTCTGTCTTATTCTTTCCTCACAGTCCATCATGGAAATCTGCTCCTGGAACTCTAAGTAAATGAGTTGGGAGTGGGTTGTACACGCAGCTATGTTATTTACATCCTTTTCTATGCTGCCTTGACAATGACTCACTCTGTGATTCTGGGTGAGTCATTTTCACTTCTGTGAATCTCAGTTTCTTCACCTGGAAAATAGCGACAGTAATATTTCCATTATCTGACAATTGTTGTGAGGAAAGTGCTCTTTTAGTTTTGAAGGTCTATAGAAATATGTTATTATTTTGAAAAGGGGGTTTAAAAGCCATGGAGTAGAGACATGATGAAGAATTGTTCAGGGTTCTGGAAGTTGACTGAAGAGAAATTAATAATACTTCCAGAATGAGAGGGAAGTATTAAGGAGACAATATTAGAAAGGGAACTGCTATAATGAAAAGAGTAACATAGACTTGGAGTGAAGATGATCTAGGTTCAAATTCTGCTTCAGAAGCTTCTTAGCTGTGTGACTTTGGACCAGTCACTGAATCTCTTTAAACCTCAGTATTATTATCTATAAAACAGAGATAATAATAGCGTCTACCTTGCTGTCTTTTTATGAAGATCAAACCTGATAATCTGTGTAAAGAAGCATCTTGATCCTTTAACTCCATAGAAATGTAAGCTATTATTAAGGAGATAATAAATATGTTTATTCTTAATAGCAGCCCAAAGGACTGAAGAGTGATAAAAATGTCTCAGGAGTATAAAAGGTCTTTGTGCCCAAGAGACTTTGGACTTGGAACTTGGAGGAACTATGTGGTATAGAACTGAGTAAAGCTATGAATCTGATCCCCTTCCCTGCCCAGAACTCATGTGGTACAAGGCGGGATTATTCCTCCTTCCCCTCCTTGGTGGGGGTTGTATGTTTGTTCTTGCTATATCTTTGAAGTAAATATTCTTTTGTGACAGCTAATCCTACTGTTAAGTGGTTAAAATGGAACTGAGATCCAGGGGCTCCCTAAAATTGAGGGAACACAATCAATAGAGGCTTAAGCTTATGGCAGAGGCTAGAAACTCCCAAGCTCCCTAAGGGTACCAAAGACCCTAAGGGAAGGGGTGAAAAGTAATATACCTACATTTCAGGTAGTTGGGGCCAGAGGAGGGATGAAAATTTTTGGTACTTTGAACTGACAAAGCAGTCCATTTGTTGGTCTTAGAGCAGGAAGAGCTGATTATTCAGTAGATATCTAAAAGGATACTACCCTCAGTGCTGTCTTTCCTTTAAGCTTCAGATTTTGTTGGCATTCTGAGAAGTTTCCCTTGGGGTGGGGAAGAGGAGGCTTATCCTATTGCTGCAGCCTGGATGCCCTATGGCCATGAGCGCATGGAAAATAAAGCACATGTCCTGCCTAGGTAAGCCTGAGCATGAGTTTGACCTGCCTCTTTTGTGTTTGTTTATTCTTTCTTCATCTTGAGGAGGAGGAGACCTTGTGAGCTTAAGAGATCTGGAGGTCCTGAGTCCTTTTGGTGAGGGCTGACTGGCAGCAAGGGAAGGAGGCCTTGGTAACTACTCCAGTGCTCTTGCAGAAAATGACCATCAACAAGATGATGGTTTCAATTTTGGCCCATTTTACCAAAAGTATGGCTTTGAGGAAAATAGTGCACAGCTAAGGTGAAATGTAAAATGGCTAATAAGCAGTCCTACAAATTGCTTTATGTCTTGATGAGGTTTCATTTTCTGATGAGCCTCTTGAGAGACCGTAACAATAGTCATAAGTTAAGTTACTGAATTCTGTTTTAAGTTGTTCTGTCAATGTAAGTTGTGAATCTTTTGCATAATTCAGGGTTTCTTTTGTGTATAAGAAATAAATAGCTGTCCCATATCTGAATCATATTGTACATTGAATACTTTTTTGCTTCCCCCTTTGGAGAGACCTTGACATGAGGCCAAACTTAAGCCTTTAGCAATTTTCCCCAGGGAGCCAGGTTGGGGGACTAAATGAGTGTGAGAAAGGCAAACCCACTTCTTCTCTTATATAGATTAGGTTCCCCTGCACCTGGATCCAGAATGGAGAAACCCCTTAATGGAGAAGGGAGTGGACCCAGTACACAGCTCCCTGGGCCCAGAACAAATATTGGGCGAGTAGCGCCAGAAGTCAGATGAAGAAATGGGCTTGCTGTCACATTAAAACATACACACATGCTGATGTGTGATTTCATTGAGGTAAAGAGCTTCCAACATAGAATTCCCTTTATTAATATAAATCAGCAATAGCTCTGCGATTTACTATCTTAAAAAGCTTCCTGAGGACATTGACAGGTGAAATGACTTTCTCAGAATCTCACAGCCTGTATATGTTAGAGAACGGCCTTGAACTCAAGACTTTTTGGGGTCACCCTTATATCAGAGTGAGGCATCAGAGTATCACTTTAGTGGAGGATATACAACAAAAACGTAGAAGGCAACATGGCACAGTAGAAAGAGCGTTAGGTTTGGAATCCAGAGACCTGAATTTGCACCCTGACTCTGCCCCATAATACTAGATAACATTTTTATGGCACCTACAAAGTACCATTCACCGAAACAAGCCTGTGAGGTAGGTGCTGTTGTCATCCCCATTTTATAGTTGAGGAAACTGAGTGTAAACAGAGGTTAAGTGACTTTCCCAAGGTCACACAGCTATTAAGTGTCTAAGGCAGGATTTGGACTTAGGTCTTCCTGACTCCGGGTCTAACACTCTATTCATTATCCACTTAGCTGCCTAATTAAACTCTCTGGATTCCAGATTCCTCTATGATTCTATGATTTTAGAATCAGAGGACCTGAATTTGAATCTTCATTCTACCACTTATCTTGACCTAAAGGAAGTCATTGAACTTCTCTGGGCCTCAGTTTCTTCCTATGTTAAATGAAAAGGACTAAATAATAATAGCTAGCATGAATATGATACTTTAAGGTTGCAGAGTACTTTATATACATTATCCCGTTTGATCTTCACAACCACCCTGGGAGGTAGGTGCTATTATTATTCCCATTTTATAAATGGGACAAATAGAGGTTAAGTGACTTGCCCACCATCACATAGGTAGTAACTGTCTGGGGCAAGATTTGAACCCAGGCATCCCTAATTCCAGATTCAACACTCTATCCACTATGCCATCTCACTATTCATATAGAATACCTCTAAGTTCCCTTCATCTCTAAATCTATAACCTTTATGTATTTGTAGGAAAAAATACTGTATTTTACCACATAATTGACACCACCACATAATTGTCGCACCCTGTTTTTTCAGTCCAAAAATTGGTTTGCAATCTTTCATCGCATAATCCTCATATGTTATTCTGTTCATCATGTTGCTTAAAAGGTAAACAGAGCAGCAATGTATTCATCAGTGGCGTTATGGATATACATTTATCTCTTGTGCATTGTGAGCTAGGAGCCTAGAATTCTCTGTACATGCACATTGTCAGTATTCAATTTAAACTATATTCTTGAGTATTCCATGCATCCTAATCTTGTACCAAAGACAGTTTAGTAATAAATGATTTTTAAGTAATACTGGCACAAATTTTTTTTAAGAAACCTTCACATAATGGTCACACCCACTTTTTGGCAAAAAAATTTGTCATAAAATCTGCGACAATTATGCAGTAAAATATGGTTGGTGAGTGGACCATGTATTATACCTATGCTTAAAGAAGGCCTACCCATAGGTACAATTATTCACCTGGGGGCAGCTACCCAAATTTCAGGAGTACTGTCTAGAAATTTATCTACCTACTTCCATGGTCTTGCTTATATCCCTTACTCATTAATATGTTAGAGCTAGGTCATACCAGTTCACAAGAGCCGATTGTTAAATTTTCATTGTGACCATTTACGTCTTGGAAATTGGCAAATGCTACAAGTTAAGGCTTGATTCATTGTTTTGCTGATTATCTAGACTTAAAGGAATAACAGAAAATTTTAATAATGCAGAATAAACTCGAAAATGTGTCATGGATGCATTTTTTTTTCAGGGAGACAGTTGTTAAATATTTACTAGCACATTCCTGTCCTTATCTTTCACAGTAACAACACCAGTGTCATCCTGCAGACTAATATGCCATTTTGATGCTTTATTGTGATGAGAAAATCTCAGTAAATCATGAGCTGTAAGACTCTTTCTCTTTTTCCTTCTCTGGACCCATCAGGAAAGTTTGATAAGAATATATGCAAGAATCAGCTTTCAGAAGATCACTTAGACTTTCCCCCAGAGCCAATGGAAGCCCCAGCCTTTTCAAAAGAGTTGTCCTCATGGCTGCTTCAGCATGTTCCTGCCTGTGTATAGAAAACATGTAAAGAAGATTGAATTATCCAATTAAAATAATGACCTCAAAGAGCTGTTTATTTTGGCACAAATACTGCCAGTTCAGCTGGCTTTTTCTTTAGTGCCCTGATGTCTCCTCTCTAAGATACACAATTAAGGTTGATGATGACTTGGTTCATAATCATTAGCTGCTAGAAATTGTTGTGTATGATCAATATGACAAATACAAAAAGCAGCTAATTTATCTAGTCATGTATCAGCTCTTCTCTATGAAACAAAGAAATGATTGAAAAGTAAAAAATTCAGTTAATGAATGTTGAACAGTTATCTCCCCATTTACTTGTCCCCCAGCCCTTGTTAATGGAATTAACTAGATTTGAGGCCAAATCAACTGGAATTTTTAGCCCTATGTAGGTATAACCTAATCCTCCTGGATTACTGCCTTGTTATGGTGGAGGGGTTTGTATAGTTCAATGAAACTACGAGCTATGCCATGCAGGGTTATTCAAGATGGACTGCTCATTGTAGAGATTTCTGATAAACAGTGGTTGGAGAAGGGAATGGCAAATCAATCTGGTATTTTTGCCAAGAAAACCCTATGGATAGTATGAAGGACAGAAGGGCCTGATGTGCTATGGTCCAATGGAGTCATGAAGAGTTAGACATGACTGAATGAACAATAACAAGATATAAACCTAAAGCCAATGCAATCTATTGAAAAGTGAAGAATGTAGCCAAATTTCTAGGGTTGGTTTTTATTGTCTCTTGAACTTCAAATGGGGATTGAGTGGATTTCTTTCCTTTATCCTGCCTCAGCAACAAAGACTGGATCTCAAGTTCCTAGCTATCCCCTCTTGTTCGGTTTTCTTTCCCTGAGTACAAGCCAAGGAACAACAATCCAGAGATGGTCATTTGCAGCCTTGGCAGGTATCTTATAAATTGGAGAGGTCTGTAGTCTTTGGTTGCCCAGCGGAAAGTGCTACCTGCAACCACACCCTTCTTGGAGGAGATGGCCGTCACCAGGAAGATGAGTCACATGTGTCTGTTAAGGTCAAAATATATAGACTTGCTGAGTAGACAGTGCATATCCAAGGTGGATGTGAAATATCTATTCAGTAGTCTTACAAATATTCCAGGAGTTTTTACCTTGTGGGAGAGCAAAATAGAGGTAATGGGTTAGAGTTATTGTTTTAAGCATCAAATCAATAAAAAGGAATTTTATGTTTTAATTATTACTTTGTAGTGGAGGGAATAAATAGCTACCCTATACCATATATCTATTACTTTGCATGTTCAGTGGCTTTTCTAGAAATGACTCTATTAATCTGTATGGGGGCTGTCCCTAGATGTGAACCCCAGCTAAGCTATATTTTTGAAAGATTTTCCTGGAACAACTTTAAGTGGGAGTGGTGAGCCAGAGAATGCAAGAAAAAACCGACTCCCTCTTTTAGCAGTCAGGCTTCCCCTAAGAAGTCATCTTGAGCCTAGAACTAGGGCCCTTTGTGGAAGAGGGGTGTTCCCTGGTCTACAGGTACCAGCAAAGACACAATGCAAGCAAGGAAGGTACTCAGAGACATGTATTAACTTAAGAACTATTAGGCCAGAGCCATGATGACACTTTCGTGTGCCCCAGGAAATCTTCAAAAATTGCACCTCATTCCCCCACTCTTTCACCCAATTATTTGATATTCGCATTCCCTATGTGTTACTATGAGCCTTCCCTTCAGCACACATGATTTGCCAAAATAAATGTAAGCCAAAGAAAGCAGAACATTCTGGTATTAAAAATAGTACAAGTATAAAAAAATAATGTTAAGACACGTCTCTCCGTATGCCCCTTTGTATGTTGCTTCTCAGGTATTTGCCTACTCTCCTTGCCTCTAATCCCAGTTCAATAGCAGGTTACCACTTAGTACATTACAGTGGCTGTGGTGACTCCATACATTTCAAAAGTCACATTTTTTCCCCCTTTCTGAGCTGAACACTATGATCCAGAGCATAAGCATTGTATATTATTTAATCCAAATCAGAGCAAGACAAACATTGAGTCTACCTTTCCATGATTCCATCATGGAGATGTATCTCAATAAGCCCTACTACTTCTTATTGGTAACGTAATTAACCAACAGACCTCTCTCTTGGAATTGATCCAATATATTACCTGAAATTAGAATTTGGGTTGTCACTCTTTAAAGGTTTGGCACCATGACCAACCACGCTTCTAGAGAACTAATGATGAAGCATGCTACCCATCTTCTCACAGAGAAGTGATGTACTCAGAATGCAGAATGAGACATATTTTTGGACATGGCCAATGTGGTAGTTAGTTTTATTTGGCTATTGTTATTAGTTTTGGAGGCTTTGTTTTTCTTCAGTTTTGGGGAGAAAAGGAGGGAAAGAGAGTAGAACAAGGGATAGAGTTGGCAGAAGGAGGGAAGATGCTATATCGAGGATGCATTCTTATTATCAGTTCTGATCTTGTATCTCAGTTTCTTCACCTGGAAAATGAGAGAAACGACATTGTGACAGTTATCTTTAATTTCTTTCTGTGGGGATATTATCTCTTTTGTGGTTTGCAACCTTCTCCAGCTTTGAGGCCAAGCTGGCAGCTGATTAGTGGCAGGCTCATTATGAAGTAGATGCCACTACGCAGGCATGTATATTTGTGCATGTGTGTGGGTGTATGTGTGCATATGCCGTATGTGACTGAGTAAATCCCTGGCTGAGTGGATCTGACTGCATTACAGAGTTAAGTTCAATGACTTGGGGATTATCTACTGCTTTGGACAATCTGTGGGTAGGCTTTAGCTCCCTTCTATTTGTATAGCTAATTAAGATCTAATTCCACTTGCGCTTAGCCTCTCATAGATGCTGTGAGAATCAGTGAGTTAAAATCTGCACCAAAGAGCCTAACTCAGTAAATAGAATAGCAGATGTGTTGTCTTATGTTATATCGTATTAAATCATATCACACCCCACAGAACCATATGGAATCATATCATACCATATCTTATTTTATTGTATTGTACCGTGTCATGTCATATCATGTTGCAGTATGCTGGAATGATTCCAATTTTCTGCAAAGTGTGGCAGGATGCAAGATACACGTTCTGTTTCTAGAGCCATGAAGAGAGTAGTAGGAAGGAGTATGGCAGAGTGAATCCTTTTTCTCTCCTCCTAGATTTTCAGAAGGAGGGTGGCAGCCAGGCTGTCACTTTTGTACCCATAGGCTCTACAAATATTATCTCATTTAATCCTCACAACAATGAATTAGGTGCTACTATTGTCCCCATTTTTCATTTGGGGGTCAAATAGAGATTTTTTTTTAAAAGTGATTTGCCCAGGGACAGGATAACTAGTAAGTGTCTGAAGCTGAATTTGAACTCAGGTCTTCCTGACTCCTGACCCAGAACCCTATCAACTGAGCCACCTAGCTGCCCCAGTAGAGATTTCATTCAAATGACTGATAAAATAGTAGCTGAAAAAGTCCTTTCCACTGTTTAAATTTTTTTTTTTATTTTAACTAATTAATTTTTTTAGGCCTTAGGTATGTGAGTTTTAAAAAGAGAGTGGGTACATGGTAGAATTGCCAGAGCAACATATTGGAGGTAGGGTCATTCCTTGTACCCAACCTGGCCCAGAAATAATACTGTCTGGATCTAAGGCAGAAAGACATTCATGTGCTCATACTTTGGGCGTCTTGCTCTCACATAATCTTAGGCTGATAGCCTAGTGCTATGGTATATTATATAATAGACACTGAATTTGGAGCCCAAGGATCAGGGTTAAAAATCTAGCTCTGCTACTTACTTAACTGTGTCCGTATCTGTGCAAGTGTCTTAATCTACTTCTTCCCTAAGTTCCTCATTGATAAGATAGGGGGCCATCTCTAGTCATCCTGATCTATATCTGGCCACTGGACCCAGATGGCTCCAGAGGAAAAGTGAGGCTGGTGACTTTGTACAGCCCTCCTTCACTTAAATCCAATTCACTTGAATGTCGTGGCATCACCTCCCTGAGGTCATGGTCCTCTTCAAGAATGAAGGAAGAACAGCAGCACTGATTAGATAAGGGTGTGGGACTAGATGGCCTTTAAAATCCCTTTCAACTTTAAATATATGATCCTGTGTAATTCAGGTTAGTCAGTCCAGAGGGCCTGCGAAAGACCCAGAGAGTCAGCCTTATCATTCATTAACTTTTTTAAATAGACCAAATAAAGCCTCTAAAGGTTAGCCTGACCCAGAAAGAATCATGGATAGGCAAGGCAATTTTGAAAGCTATAGGCTGAATTTATTAGATATTTTTAAAGAAATGCAAGCTGTACATAACAGATTTGCAATCTCACGTGTAATCCCTTTTTCTCTATTTTACTGTGTACATGGAAATGTCTGTTTATTTGGTGTTTGTTAAACAAACACATTTTAAAATTAAAGATGGGTTTGAGTCCCTTTGACATTAATAATAATAGTATGCTTCTTCCACATATATGTTGGCTTTATGTTCCAGAGTTTCTAGGATGGTCCCAATTTCAAATATCCTGTCCCATTCACAAATCAGATTTTCTTGTATACAACTATGTGTTTTGATTTGGGGTTCATAAAATGTGGTGGAGACCAGCTAGGTGGTGCCTTGGATAGAGCGTCGGACTTGGAATCAGAAAGATTCATCTTCTTTTGTTCAAATCTGGCCTCAGACACTTAACTAGATGAGCGACGCTGGGCAACTCACTTAAGCCTGTTTGCCTCAGTTCCTCATTTGTAAAAATGAGCTGGAGAAGGAAATGGCAAACCACTCTAGTACCTTTGCCAAGAAAACTCCAAATGGGGTCAGGAAGAATTGGACACGACTGAAATGACTGAATAACATGTGATAGCCATATCCATGTAATCAAACAAAACCAGTCTTCTCTTTGTCCTTATGGATCTGTACAACTTACTCTCTCATGGAACATGCCATCAGCAAGCACATCTTCTTACAGAGACACTTTGGTGGAATGAAAAGAGCCCTGAAT